AAAGTCATATTAAATCATTGACCGAAAATTTTCTCGCGTTAGATTAATTTTCACGTGTTTGTTACAGTTTTACATTTTCCGCCATTCACAAAAACAAATGACAAATGAATGCAATATACGTTATCAAAAGTAAATAATAGGTTACCAAAGAGTTCGAAAATTGAAATTCGAAGTCGTGTCAACACACGAATAATGTTGGAATGTCTATTGTTTATTCCAAAACAATAATGCAGATTTAATTTCGAAATACCTGTCAACAAAGGACAAACACATTCTACGTGATAAATAAAATGTTTGAATGTGCAGTTTGAAGCTTTGACCCAACAGAAAGTCAATATTAATGGACATAAATTGCGTTTTACAAAATCTACATTTACAGCTCCGGCGGTTTGATTTGCTTAGTGGAAATATGAATTAATTTAGCCTGTATAAGGTAAACAATTTCAACAAAATGCATAAATGTGGGTGTAGGTCTGAAATTCGGTTAACTTAAATTCCCACCTCGAGGTTTGCCTGTCGGAAAACGGACCGTACCGTTGTGCAAATGATATTTTTTTTAAATGTCTATTTAGTTTTTAAACAATTTCTTGTGTACATCAAATCGTGTCGAAAATTCAATCTAATTCGTAAGTAATGTATAAATAACGCATATAGATTTAAAGCAAATATTTTGTATATTTAATAGTACTTATTATTATTTTTTATATATTATATATGAACTTATTTAATTTATCACAACCATCGTGACACTGCCGCCTCATGAGGCTTGTGGTAAAACACTCCTTGGATGTTTTTACGTTTTCACAAAGTCACAGGGTGAAAAAGCCCCTTGGCAAAATTATGTTAGTAAAATGTATTGCTATTGAATTGCGTTAATGCAATATTTCAATTCAATCCAATCATATTATCCAATAGTTATTTGTCAAAATGTGTAGCACCTTGCTGGACACAATGAAGTAAGGTTTATTCTAAGAAATACTTTATCAATTCGCCTGCTCGAAAAGTTCAGTCCAAAGATAATAATAAAATGGAAATATTAATATATCATGTGCAAAATCAATGAATTTACTTCAACATTATTAAGTTTTTTTATCATTTGGAGTGTATAAAACACTCAACTCGTACTTGTATCATTCTGATTTTGGACAGCAAAATATAATTCATGTCGATTTAGCCTTAGTTCATGGAAAATCTCAGTTTAATCGAAGTGAATATATAGATTCGAGCATTGTTTCCCAGTGGCTAGAGCGTACGCCGGTGAACGTACGTTTTTGACCCGGGAAAATGCATCGCGTTCCCCCGGAACTGCTTGGAGCGGCATAACCACTAAAACCTCCCGGGCCCTGAACAGCCGTGGGCGGGCACGGTAACCTTGTCTGCGTACGGCTCCCAACCTTAAGATCGAGCATTCGAATTATGTCTGTGTCCCAATGATCTTTCAGCGTGCACAATTAACACTCGCTTGTACGGTGAAAACAGACATGCCTTAGACATCTGTCAGGCACAGAATGCAGAATGCAGCTGATTAACAAAAAATAATTTTTATAATTTGTATCAAATATATAATAAATATATTATATTGTAATTTAATCCGACCGATGTATTCTTAGAAATTTATTGCTTTGTCAGTACTACAAGAACCATTCCCTTTAATATATTACATCTTTCAAATATATCAAAATTCTCAGACACTAAATGCTCAGTTACTAAGATGAACCAGATAGCAACGAGTATTGTCGAGACCTTGCTAGGATATACAAGATAAGATATGATTCGATATTAAATATACCAACTATAAGGATGCTTTGAGGTGCCTAGAAGGGAAGTGCATCCGTTGTGCCACCACTGCGGCGCTCCGGATGACACAGCGGAGCATACTGTGGCTGACTGTGTAATCTGGACAAGGGAGCGTCATGACCTGGTATCGGTCATTGGGGCGGACCTCATTTTACCGGGTATTATATTGGTCATGCTAAGAAGTGAGGAGGTCTGGAATGCAATGGTCTGTGAGCATGTAATGCTGCAGAAGGAACTGAGCGAATGAGAGAGCTGGGGTTGAGCGTAGACTGGCCAGTGGTTCAAGGCTGGGGTCTTGGTCTCGAGCGGCCTGGAACCGCAAGTCTTGATTTAGCTCTAGTTCCTTTGGATTCAATGCCTTGGCGAAGGCCACTCTTAAGGGCGTGTGGAGGGCTGAGGTGTTTTTAGTGGGAAGGGTCCCGCTTCCTCTCTGAATAGCTAACGCTTTAAGTGTAGACCCAGCCCCACAGCCCCCGCGTCAAGTTCGACATCCATGGCGCGGGCCTACGTAAGCTCGTTTTCACCTCATAAAAAAAAATTACCAACTAAACATACAAAGACATAAACATACTCTTATTTTTTAACTAAATATATTTTTTATTCGTCATTAAAAATTAATTCTATATTTCTTACTGACTTTCTTATAGTGTCATCTCCTTGCGATGGTTGGCGATCATCATGGCTAGTTTAATTTTGGATGCCGCGCTTCTAAACAATGACTTGGTGCTTTGGCCAAACCATTCCCTAAGGTTTTTCAACCAAGGTGTGCGTCTGCGGCCAGGTCCCTTTCTAACTGCCACTTTGCCTCGTATCATTAGTTGTTATCACCACCCTTATGTAACTTATAGTGATACTGACAGCAATCCCGAGAGAAGCTTGCGACATTAGCGCTACGGATATTAAGAGGATTACATGCACAGATCGTAGTTTCTAGTACCTTAAACTAATTACTAACATACACGAAATGCATCGTTAAAGGTGATATTGTTTGGGTTTTAGTTACATGACAGCCGAAGACTATAAAAAATAGAGACATTTAATGGTCTAAGATCCCGCTATACAACGACCTTCACCGAGATGCTTATTTAATGAAACTTATTTTATATATAATTTAATATGTCAATAAATATAATCTATATGGGTTGCCTAGCAAATTTCAGTCCAGAGTATGTTTAATTAATTTAAAAAAAAAATATTTTTTTAAACATTTCACCGGTATGATTACTAGATAAATTCTATACCAATCGAACGTATGAAGCCCATAGAATATGCAAACGTTAGGTTGTTTTTAATCAATTAATTATTTATGTGTATATTTTTTATGTGACACTAAAGTATATATACATCTTTAGTATAAAAGAAGGTTATAGTGATACATATATAATACTACCCTGATTAAAAATATTGATTGAAAAAAGTTCAAAAAAATTTACTACATGCAAATTATAAAAAAAAAATTTTTTTTAATATTAATTAAACATACTCTGGACTGAAATTTGCTAGGCAACCCATATGGATTATATTTATTGACATATTAAATTAAATATAAAATAAGTTTCATTAAATAAGCATCTCGGTGAAGGTCGTTGTATAGCGGGATCTTATACTATAAGAAACTGATTACAAATACGAAGGAAAACTTGAAATTAAATATGTCAGTGACGCCTTATTAGACAGCAAAAAATAATAATCGACGTAGACAAAACCAGAAAGGAAAGGATAGTCAAATGTTGATGGAAATCGTAATAAATGTCCAGCAAAGTTTAGCTTTAGTGGTGCTTCGTTCACTTTGGCGACGTTCAAAAACGATGTTATCCACTTACAGAAATAGTTTGAGACACAGCAATGCTTGTATTTACCTTCTTTACAAAACATACCGAGTTCTGAGTTATGTTTTATAAACAGAAAAGCTTATAAATGAAATTTAAATACCTTTCTATTTTCTTTGAACTATTCAAAGAGCTTCTCTGTAAAACTAGTTCTTGTACTTAATTCTATTTGCATTTTTTACTTCGATTACTAATTTCGAACACTATATAACTGAGTCTTACTTTATATAAAACATTAAAAAGGCACACATAACACATACTTAGATAACATTACACTTTTGCAATGTACTTTGCACTTAAAGTAACTTAATTTGTCAGAAAAACTAAGGAGTACCTTAAAAGAGTGCAATTTATTTTTTTCAACAGAAAACTTAATTAATACTAACATGTGGTATTAAAAATCCTGTACACATGGTCGCTTAGTGGTTAATTTTTCTAATTAGAAGGCCGAGGCCTGAGGCCGTGTGTTTAACTCTGTAATTGATTATTACGTTGATTAAAAGAGACAAAAGAGAACTGAAAAACATTTTTATAACATTATCTGATTTTTTTTTTGGATAGGAGGCTCACCTGATGTGAAGTGATACCGCCGCCCAATGACTCTCTCAATGCCAGAGGGCTCGCGAATGCGTTGCCGGCCTTTTAAAAATTGGTTCGCTCTTTTCTTCAAGGACGTCGATTTAGATTTTATGCATAAATGAGTTAAGTTTCCAGTTATATAAAGGAATTTATCAGAGTTACTCGGACAACAAGGCTGCTTATTTCAATACGAACTATTCTGAAAATCAGAAACAGAATCGGTGCAAAACTAAACGGCTAGCATTCCATAACTTCAGCCATTATTAAAAATTTTCTATGTAAAGTTGTTCAAAATTGGAAAACAATTTTTCGTAATAAACTGCTAATATTAGGTTATAAAGAGATTTTAAGTCGGTTTTCACAAATGTTATAAAAAAAATTAATCAGCTGAAACGTATCATAAGTTATAGGATGTTGATCAATAGTGGTTGGTTTAAGGGGCAATTAGCAATATTGCCCGCCAGTGTTCGTCCAATTCGCGATTACAACGGAAGGCAGAACGGGCATTACGTGACATGGGGAAGCGATCATTGCCTATTGTTTCATTCAATGCCTTGAACGCGCACCTTACAATTTCGGCATTCACTCTTTGACTGTCGAAGGAGATGCTCCTTCAACGTCGCCGCCCCTCAATTTATTAAACACGTTAACTAAATTTATTTAATTGAAGTTCGTGGTATCGTGCCATCTGACAATTAGATCACTATCGTTTTGCGAAGTTTACATTTCTTTTGAGTTGTCGTATGTGAACATAAGGATGGTTAATAGAAGAACAGTGTAGTTGTGTTTGTGATAATGAGTCCTGTTGTAACTATTCATCAAATTATGGGTAACAACACAGATGCGGTGAGTTTAATAAAAAAGATTAGGAAATTTTCCTTTACTAAAATGATTCGTAGCAAATCTAGAAAATACGTATTCGTAGCGCTGTAGTAGAGTTAACTTGTTGCTTTCAAACTGAGCAAATCGTTTCGTAGTTTCATGCTACAGTTACGTTAATTTGATCAAAATAAACAGTTACACGTTTATTTTGTCAGTTACGTTTTAGATTAAAAATAACTATAAATTGTTTTTAATTTTGCTACAATATTTAACAGCCTGTAATTCAATTTAAATAAGAAATCTTTGAATATTCAATCACATTTTGCCGAGTTTGCTAGTAAATTTTAGACACATATTCTTCGATCTAAATATCTCAGTCAAGTATTAAACATTATGTAACGCTACTTAGTAAGTATGCTGCGTTGGGTTCGGTTTGCGGCAAAACATAATTCGGATTGAGCACCACAAATTATTATAATTTTTAGAAGTGTTACAACTAAAAAACAGAACATACTTTGATGACCTCATGTAATTAATCATAATCAGAATGGCGCGTAGTCTTCGTACAATCAATATCCCAAGTTTCCTCGGGGCTACAACCCTCGCGAGAGGTTAATTATTGTGCCATTTAATGGCTTAACAAATGACTAGTTCGTGTCAGGCATTCATTGGACTGCATTTAAAGTGAGTTGACAAGATCTGTGTATCTTTAAATTACTTACGAGTGATGTCTGATTTAATTATATGATCTGTACTTATGTTATGAATCGAGCGTTGAGTTGGTTATTGTCAGAAACGAATAGTTCCCGTTGAAGTATTTTTTTGTGTTAGACCATTTCTCGAAGAAAGTTTATAACATCACACTGTGATCGAATTGACGGGTAAAATGCGGGGCACCACACCGTACTTAAAGACTAGTTAACTTAATAAATAATTATTTTTTTTGTTTTCTATAAATAAAAATTCCTAGATATTCTATCAAATTAAGTCTGTACCACGGTATTACAACTAAATACGTTACAATATTCTCCATGTTTAATCGGGTTCCTACCATCGTTCCTCACAACAACGTACATCATTTAAACCCGTATTTTTTATTTTCAAAAATCAATTGTGATAAGATGTTCATACGATGAAGTGGAAGATTCATCTCTGATCTCGGAACCCCGTCCATCCACCGATTAATTCTGTACAAATTCAGCACTGAGAAATTGAAATGTCTTAGACCCAAAAACCGACTTGTGCATAACTTGCCTGTAAATAATAAAGTTAAAGTAGATATAATTATTAGAACATTTCAAAAATAATAACTAAAGAACCTAATCAGTCACATTATTAATAAATAAATCTCTTGATATTAATATCTATATCTCTTGATATAAATATCTATCTATTCTTATTCATAAATAAGTCTTTGCGTAAAAAGTGGAATTTTGTCACCCTTTTATTCACCATACCGAGACCCGTTGTCTCGAAATCTTTCGAATCCCTAATGGAACTGTGGTAGAGGCTTAATAAGATCGCACATAGGACTAACTCAATCCAAACGATTCCAAATGTACGATTTACTAATTAACAACAAGGAATGGTTCGTTCCGTTAATGAGGCATTTCTAAGCATAAAACGTACTTTTGTCGTTAAATACATTGTCATAACTAATAAATATGTCGATCCTCGTGCTTCTGATGTCATTAGAGTGTGTGTCTGAATTTTTATTACTTGTTTATTGACACAGTGAAAAGACACCAGTGGCGCTACAAACGTTTAGTACTGGATTTCAGATTTGTGAATCCATACGGATAATTTTATTTTTGTAATAGGCAAGTAGGTGATCTGTGCCTGACACGCCGTCGACTTTTTGGGTGTTGTCACGATGTTTTCCTTCCCCGAGCGAGCAGCGAACGTCCATTGGTGCACAGCTGGGGTCGGAACTTACTACCTCACGGATAACAAACGATATTCATGTGACACGGAAGAGTGTGAAAAATAAGGAACATTTAATATCACTCTATATTTTAAGGTTATTTTCTTGTACATTGAAATGGTGAAGTGTCAGCTGAATACAGTGACAAGAAGACTTGTAAACGTCATCCTAAATACGACAGGTAATAAATAGTGTTCTGTTTTATTAAGACTCCAACTCCAAGGGTACTAGGGGGGTAAAATCATAAAAGTTTTTCGATGAAATGTAAACAGAAATGGAAATGCAAATAAACAACATATTCGAGCAAAATAACAAGAAAGAAGAACCTCTTATTGAACAAAAATATGAGAATGAAAATAGAAAACCCGAAGAAAAATATTTAACATTTGTAAAAAGAAAAGAATACCTTTTGGATTGTTTTAAATAATACAAAAAAATATCAAAGCTGATTTGACTGCTGAGACTATCCCAACGTATGGGGCGAACACATCTGTGTACCTGATTATTTAATAACCGCTATTGTGTCATCTATAACCTTACCCAGGACTTCTTGATTCTTAATCGATCTTGATTAATTTGTACTAACAGTTGCGGCACGCCTAAATAAAACATTAAAAAGGTGACATATGATGATCATTATATTTAACTAATATATAAAGTTAAATATCGAATCAAAGTATAGAAACAAGCGATTAATTGAAGAAAGAGTTACAACAACACTTGCGAGCATGAAATTCTAAGCAACAAGGCTACACACGTGGTTGAATTTAAAGTGTCTAACAAATCAAAATTCATTTATTCATATAGGTAATGGACACTCATGAACGTCAATAAAAATTGAATATTTTAAATTTACGTTTATTATCAAAAAAAATATGTTTATTATGTTATATATCAGTTCCCAAATCAAGGGCGTATAAACGGCGAGATGAACTCGTAAGATACTCCGCTAACCAATTTTTTTTATAATTTCTTCTCAAATTACCCTTCTAAAATAAGTTAATAATAAATATATATAAAGGTATAATTATTATCAATACCTTTAAATATCATATGCTCGATGTCATAGATTTAAAAGGAAATCCTTTAATCCTGTACGTATAAACACCGTATTCGCAACAAAGTACTGAGAGAAGAGAAATTAATTATGTCTGCGCTCCGACCGGGAATGGAACCCGAGGCAGCGCCGTAGCCTACTCTTTCTACGCGTATTGAAGATAATAACGAGATAATTAAAGAAGTAATAAGTTTAAGATTAAGTTAAAAATTTGGATACAGTCCTACATACGGCGAAACGGTTTGCCTTAACAGGCTACTTAGCCATGTTAATGCTGAAGCAATCCAACATCTTGACTTAACAGGAATAAGACGCCTAAAGAGAACTAAACCTTTTGAGTTCATAAACCTAATGTGGTGAATATAAGTGCAAGTCTCATCTCAAACACAAACATAATGCCAAAACATTATAGAACACTAAGACTGTTAATGAACATTACCTTAGTTTAAGCTATTCACTAGTACGAGTATTGTCGAAAATCAATTCAACATAATATTACTTAGCCATAATTATTGTATAGGCTAGATTGTAATTCATGTACAGTCGCACTCTTTATTGTAGGAAAAAAACGTAAAGACATTATTTTCTATTAATATCGCCGCAATATCAATTTTCCTTTACTAGTTAGTACAGTGCTTCGTGCATCGAATAATCTTTAGCAAAGATACTATAATTTATTTAAATTAATTGTTGACAAATTTTAACGGTACTAAACCTTGCCTAGGATAAGGTGATTCGACCTTGTCTTCTAAATTTCATCGCCAATCTTATTGTTATTCATTGCTCATAACCACGTAATATGGCCGACATACACGCTGTATACACTCCAATGCTATTCGATAACAATGGAAAACTCTTTCGAAATATCAAGGAAAATAATATAGCAAGGAACTATTTTTAAATTTAAACGCGGACTGAATTTTTATGGTTCAAGTTTGAGCTTTGAATTTGAATAAATAAGTGTATTAATTTCCTTAACATTTTAAATACTTTTTTTATTTCCTAAAGAGTGTAATAAATAGTCTTAATCATGAGATAACTTATTAGTAATGTAACCAAATTTGCTCATAAAGCTCAAATTCGAGCCTCCCTTTCCAATAGATTTCCAATGAAAGTTCTCTCACTAGAGCTTTAGTAATATTGCATAATAAACTTGCCTAAAAATAAAATTCAGCTCCAGACTTTATAATTGTTGTTGTCCCACTGTTGTTTTATTATTTTAAAAGACCTGCATACTTAAGAAGGCGTGCATGTCCTGTATATTTAGGAATCTTCTAAACTTATTATAGAATTATATTGTATAATGTTTTTGCATATAAATACCGAAATGAAATGCGTTTAATAAGATATCATACCAATCCCCTAAACGTCATCTCCTGTAAGGGTACATTTTTAATAATACAATAATGTAAAACTATTTTAATATTATATTTATTCCTATTACAATTTTCTCATTAGTTACTTACTCCGTATGCAAATGCAATCACGAAATTGGATCCCAACATGAATGCAACAAGTCTATTCAATGTAATGTAAGAATTTATTTAATATCCTAGAATCTGATTGAATTATCGTAATAATACAATATTATATTTATTCCCATTGCAATTTTTCTCGTTAGTTACTTACGTTATGAAAATTGAAATCACGATATTGGACCCAACATGTATGCATCAAGTCTATTCAATGAAATGTAAGATTTTATTTAATATTATAAAATGTAATATTTATTCCGAATTGAATAACTCAATAATGGAATTGGACGTCTATTTGCAGTATGGAAATTTAATCATTGGACGAGTTTTTTTTTTATATAGGCGTTAAGCATTCAGACGATTATACAGTTTACACGCTTGTTTCCTCTTATAAAATAAAATATTAAACGAGTCCACTTCTCCAAATGTTGCCATCTTAGCAAAGTAAAACGAAACCGATGTTGATGTGATATACTTTTTACAAATAAGTTCGTAATATATAAATTAATTTTTAAGCGATTTGGAAAAACTTGTGGTTTAAATTCGATGTGTATTTTTTGTTTATTTCCAAAAGCCTAATTAATAGGATAGGACTTGTAATTAATAATAATTGAGACTCATTTATTCCTTAAAACAATACTATACTAAACAAAACGGTACACATACCTACTTTAATAGAAAACTAGTATTTTTTTTTCAAGAACCTCCTAAAGAGTAAAGGTTTTCTTCAACCGGTTCCGTCTCTCTCTATCGTGAGCTAATCTTTTCAAGCCAATTCTTCCAATCTTCTCCTCTGTTTAAGCTATACATTGACTTGGTCATCACATGGTAACACATTGTATCTCACAAGTAATACATATTATATTAAATTAGATTGTTTTGTGCGATTGCCAAGTCAATCTAGTTATATATTAATATTTCCCGCGATATCGACTAACCTTTTAGCTATTTCCTTATTTTGTCCTTATCCATGTGATAATCAATTTTTTCCACAACACATATAATTTAAAATAGATTAAGATCAAATACCGAAAAACCTTCGCCGAAGATATTATAAACGAAAGAACATGCACTCATATGGTAGATGATATTTTCATTGCTGGATGATTAAATAGCAGCGTAATAGTAGTCGTAAACGTCGACAAACGGCTTGACCGCTCGTGTTTATGTCGGTCATGCTAACACAATACAACCTATATTGTTTTTCTAACCTCGTATCATTTTATTTTCTAACTATCCAGGAGTTTACGTATTATCCTACGAGTGATGAAATATTTCAGTAACGAAGAATGGTCACATTAGCTGTACGGCTCTTGAAACTAGACTTTTTTCCGCCACTTTTTGTATACGTGGGTAACACTGAAAATGTTTAGAATTGGCCAGTTAGATACATTGCTAATAAAAAAAAAATTTAATTCAAAATTTTAGAACTCTTTGGTAACCTAATGTAGTATATTGCATTCATTTGTTTTTGTGAATTGGCGGCAAATCTAAAATTCTTGTTACACGTGAAAGTGAACCTAACGCGAAAAAAATTTCGGTCAATGATTTATTATGACTTTCGTTGTTGGCTTACTCAACAACAAAGCTATGAGAGGCTGCGATTAGCATTTCTTAATGAAGCCCCATCTTGTGCCACTATTTACAATTGGTTTAACGAGTTTAAGCGTGGACGTAGCAATCTCAATGATGATCCGCGTGAGGGACAGCGACAGCGACTACTGAAGATAACATCAGTGCTGTGTTAAGCATGATAGAGGAAGATAAGAGAGTGACCTATTAGCAGATACGAGCAAGCCTAGGCATTGGTATGAGTCAAGTTAAAAAAATATTACACGAACATTTAGGCGTCAAGCCATGTTCCAGATGGATTTCCCATACTTTAACCGACGACCAGACACCTTTGCATGGACTGGTGTTGACAAATGTTAGATAAGTTCAACGGCGGTGACTCAAGTGCTGTATTTGACATCGTCACAGGTGATGAAAGCTCAGGATATATTGCTACCAACCCAAAACTAACATAAAATTCGAGGTATTCGCTTTACGAGCCCTGAAGATGCGGTGAAAGCGTACGAAAATGCCATAGAAGGGACCCCTAAGGAAGAATGGGCCCACTGCTTTTCTCAGTGGTTCCATCGAATGCAACGATGTGTAGAGAGGAACGGAGATTACTTCAAAAAACAATAAAATTATTGGCAACTTTCTACATTAAGCCGTTTTTCATTTTCTAAACATTTTCAGTGTTACCTAGGTATATAGGACTGGCGTCTACATTCTTTTCTTAACAGTCTTTATTAGTTACTAATATTAGTGATAATCCTATTTATACCTGATAATAATTTCAGCAGGTGCGAAGGAAGTTGGAGCCTGGAACTACAAGCTGCTGGCGTCGGTTCCGAAACAGAGTCTGCGGGGCTCTTGGCCTGCCAATCAAGCGTGGGCCAACCAAGCCCACTGATTGGTTTTTGAATAAGTTCTCCGCTGAAGAGTTCTATGCTAATGACGAACCGGAGGAGAACTGCGGCCCTAGTTGGCTATGCTGCTGGAAGCGTTCCGTGGATCCTACCCATTCAGTGCACTACCACGTAAGTATTATTTTAATTACATATCTGGTTATCGCAAAGCGCGTGCTGTATATTGCATTTTCAAAATTTTAAATTATTTCAACTACAAAAACAATTATCTGTACAGAGCAAGCAAAAGCTTATAAAAATTAACTTTCATGTAAATAGATCATCAATGTTTTGAGAACATTCAATTTACGAGCTAGTTTATGCCAATCCTTAATTAGTTTTGTCCACGAATTTTTTTTTAATGTGTGTGGGGTGTATGACGCTATGACCTCGAAAGATCTTCTAGCGATAATTGCTCGCTTATACTAATACGATTATTTTCGTGGAGCGTAAAGTATATTGAAAGATAATAGCAATACAAAGTTAATATGTCAAAACCAAGCTAAAAGCTATGATAATGACATATTCTTAATTTTTTTATGTATATTTTTGTAATATAGTAGTTAAGGTGTTTGAAAAGAAATGTATATTTTACGTACGTAGGTAGCAGCTGTATATTATATAATCAAATTTTACTACGACGTTTGCGGTTGCCTATGTACCTCTGCTTCTTAAACAGAGAAAAATCCAGCCAGCCTAAAAATTTAACAGGAACTAAAATTCTGACTGGATTTCTTGCTTAAGAAATTAGTACACTACAATACACTTAACTAGTGTGTCTAGTGGCTCGCTAGTTACGTTATTTAGTGAATAAATATGAGTAAAATGAAAGTACTTTTACGATAATTTAAGTACAACATATACATATATTAAATGCGCCAAAACTTGTAATGCAGGGTCACTTTTCGGTAGAGTATTTTTTTTCACAGTGGGGTCCGAAGTAAACAAAAAAATATGAACAATTTTTTGCAGCTAATGACTTCATCTATCTCCTAGTTGCGTTTGATCGATGACTTTTTGACCACCCTGTATATGTTGTACGTTGTATTAATGAGTACTTACGGGTTTTGGCGGCGCGGGTTGTTAATATATAAATTTATACCTAGTTGACTAAGTATAATTTGTATATAATTGTGGAGTGTATTTTCTTTATAATATGATCAATATTTGGATAAATGGGAAAAAAGAAAGAAAGGATGTCGGCACAGTACCTTCAACCTCGTGGCTGAATTCCTTTCTTTACACCAATTTACCAAACACTTCACAGAATTCTATTCAAACAATAATATATTCAACAATAAACAGAAAATTCAAAAAAAGTTAAAATTTTAAAGAAAGCGGTGCTAGCGTGCGGCGTACAAAACGAACCATATCGCGGGTCATCAAAATTGTAACTAATGACCGCTTAATCCTTGTCTCCAAATGCAGACTCAACGTCGTGCGCGCCACCTACGAGCGGATCCTTAGGATTGGGACATAATTTAGGTGGGTTTTGAGATATGCGTCTAGGAACTTTTAAAGGTTTTTAATTCTAACTTAATTCTAAAATACCTTTAGAATTAAGTGAATTAACCGGTGCAGCCAAATTATCACATTATGTAGAAAATCACATAAGGGAACAGGAAATATATTGCACTTAAAATTAGGTTATTGTATATATAAAATACATAACATTTATGCAAACACTTATTTGTAAATTAAGTGGCTACCATGAGTGACTTAGCTTTCATTGAGAATAATTTACATTTGTGTACCTTCGTGCTAGAAAAATATAGATTATAAACGCTAATAAAGTGATAACAGCCCTAATTAATTTAGATCAGAATCCCGAGTGGCATTTAAATATGGTACACTATTTGATATAGGGACACTATTTGCAAGCCTGTCCCCTTATGTGACTTATACGTTCATGTGACTTATTCATTTTAATATATTTCTCAAGTTTCATTATTTATCTCTTGGGCGATAATAGGGTTGCAGTTCCAATGTATCTGGCTTATGCATAAAATCTGTGTCATCACATCGTCGAAATTGTCATCAATTATTTGAATTACTTCATTACTATTTGATTTCTTCTTGTATACCTCTTTTAATCATCATTTTCTCATATCTTCGTTTGGTAAATGTTCTTTGTAAGTGGTTATCATGTTATTGCATGATTGAACTGAGTGTTTAATTTAATGTTGATCATCGTAAGTATTGATGTGTCGTCTCTTTCGTGACTCATTAGTTAGTATGTCCATTTGTGATTGTCAAACATCTGTTTTTCCTACGTACCTTTTACTTTCAATCAAGAGGCGCTACAACTTCACATAAAAATAAATTGCTTTTTTTGGTTGGTATTTTTTAAGTTTATAAATAAAAATATAGGTGATTAGCCTTCTGTGTAGATTGTTGGCTATAAAACAATCCAATATTGTTGTATAGCCAATAATATTGTGTAGTTATCGTATGTATGTATTATGTAGCACATACGATCATGAATTAAGTGTCATGTAAAACCTATTAATAAACCCCAATGCCGGGATTTGAACCCATGACTTGAAGTTAACAAATCAAAATCCTTTGTGTCAATTTTTATGAATATTTTCAGTATACGAAGAAAACAACCATCCAATCTACCAATCGACGATAATCGAGGACAAAAAATAAACAAATATAATTTATTGAAACTTATACCTTATCTGTAATAATGTCTACAAAAAAAACATTTGTAGTCACGTCATTTTTATTTGTATTTATATCCAACGTTTTTCATTCAGTGGCTTGCTGTTGTGTCCCTTGCCGTTCTCTATAATATGGTTTTCGTGATTGGCCGAGCTGTGTTCTGGGAGCTTGACAAGGCTTCCACTTCCTGGTTCGCGCTTGACTACCTCTGCGACGCTATTTATTTGATTGACACCACTATTCACATGCACGAAGGTGAGTAATTGTTTTTATTATAACAGAAAAATCGTTTTAATGTAAAAACAACAGACTGGCAATTAACCTCAGTTTATCATCTGAGTAATTATTTATTTTAGCAGAATTATCTTATTTTATATGTTATTGTAAATGATATTACGTCTTACGATAGTGACGTAAAACTAAGTCGTTTAGAGCTTGCGTTTGACATTTTTAATTCTAATAAAGTTGGCGTTGAACCCCGAAGGACTTGTAACTTAGAAGATAAGCAAATGCAGGCACGAGGCAAATATGCGAATTAATATAAAATAAGGAAAGTTAACATGAAAAATGTTAATAGTTGTGTTTGTATATTTTGCGACATGTTAATATATGTCGAATATAATGACATCCTGATTGCGGAAATGTTATTTATATTTATGTAGCATTTAATTATTATGAAAGAATGTTATTTGTTTGTTTCGGTATTAAAGCGATTTATCGATGTAATTCCAATTGCATCAAATATTCGATGAGTATTTTACACAAATAGTTTGTAAAACCTATTTTCATACACGAATTACAAATCAGAGGGAATAGTTTTTATATATACGGTAAGAATGTAATTAAAGATTTTGTGTTTTTATATTTATAATAACACAAAATTTTTAATTGAACCTTGAGAAACGATTTTAATTGAACTTTAAAATCTATTCTTAGTTTAAGCTCATAATTGAGTTTAGAAAACATTTTAAGTGCATTTCAATGCAGACTTTCTGAAAATATTCATCAACACACGAAGATTAACTAAAAAGCACTCTCACTGGCAATCTTTTATATTTAACCAGCTATGGCAAATATAATGTTTTTTTCCGTTAACGTTATATTTAAACAAGCTATATTAAGATTGTCGACTGAAGACAAGTTGAAATCTTTTTCGACAGTCACATGTGTAGATTACCACCACTATCCCGCATTTTTCCCACTATGCCTTAGTGTATCACAAATCAACAATTTGGCACCTACACGCGTCGTTCGCTGGGCGCGCCTTGCGTCATCAAATTTAGCTAACGTGTAGGTAAACATTTCAACCAGACTGCTTTTTTCTGCGTAAATATTGCACTCATCGCACAAGGTACGCGGAGCCGTGAAGAAGGTAAAGACTGCTGGAGCTTGGAACATATTTATTAGGGAAGTTAATTTTTGACAAGCATGACTTAGCTTTACCGCTTGGCGATTTAATGATGCCCGAGAGATTGGAGGCGATTTGAGAGGAACTTGCTATTTATGCGACTTATTGATGTTTTATTTTTAACTTTGATTCATTTGTTGTACGTAGTTTGATTACAATTTGATTTGTAGATGATATTGTGTTGTTTTTGCTTGCGTATTTATTATAGATTAATTTTGCAGGCGATGTATTATATTATTTGAGATTTTGACCTAAACATGTTAAAGTATTTATAAATTTACATACATATTACAATTTCAGGCTATTTAGAACAAGGGATTATGGTAAGGGACGCCAGGATGCTACGCCAGAATTACATGAAGTCCGATTGGTGGCCATATGATTTCATTTCTTTAATTCCAACTGACATCGCTTATTATTGGTGGCCGCCGGGAAATTGTGACTTTGTAAGTATTTTTATTCTACCTTAGTTTATTTTATTACCATTAATTAATTTTGTCTTACTCATCTTTTTACAAAACACTACAAAATATGTCCAACGTGATAACGTGGAGTAACATTCCAACCAAATACATTCTTCACCTTAGTTATTACTATGTCAATATTGGTTTCAGGATCGTTTGCCGTGCCCTGTTATTGTCCGACTCAATCGTTTGTTTCGACTGCCCCGCATGTGGGAGTGGTTCGATCGTACCGAGACCGCCACAAGCTTTCCGAATGCCTTCAGAATTTGCAAGGTTTGTTTTTTTTGTCATTATATATAAAACTAATAATATTATACATAGCTTTACCGTCTATGGACGATATGAAAAATGTTGAATGTTTTTTTTTTTATTTACAGGTCGTCATGGCTATTTTAGTACTTATTCATTGGAATGCATGTCTTTTTTTTGCTATCAGTTATGCAATTGGGTTCGGAACAGATAATTGGGTATACAATATAACAGGCTCGCGCAATGAAACTTTGGCTCATCAATATATTTATAGTTTTTATTGGTCAACTTTGACCCTCACCACTATCGGTGAAACACCCCAACCCGAAATTGATGTCGAATACATTTTTGTCGTCTTAGACTTTTTGGCGGGAGTGTTAATTTTCGCAACAATCGTTGGTAATATTGGATCGATGATTTCAAATATGAACGTTGCTAGAGTTGAATTTCAAAACAAAATGGATGGAGTAAAACAATATATGGCGTTTAGAAAGGTCAGCGGTGAATTAGAGGCGAGAGTGATCAGATGGTTTGCTTACACATGGGCCGAAAGTGGGGCATTGGACGAGGAGCACGTTTTGGCGTCCCTGCCCGATAAACTGAAGGCCGAAATAGCGATTCGTGTACATCTGGATACATTACGGGAAGTTGAGATTTTCAAAGATTGCGAGCCGGGATTATTGGAGGCACTTGTTCTAAAACTGAAACTTCAAGTGTTTAGTCCAGGTGATTACATCTGCCGGAAGGGTGACGTGGGTAAAAGAAATGTATATCGTAAAGCGTGGGCGATTGCAAGTAGTGGCAGATGATGGAACCACAGTGCTGGCAACTCTAGGTGCGGGATCTGTATTTGGAGAAGTTAGTGTTCTGGATATAGCTGGAAATCGAACTGGAAATAGGCGAACAGCCAACGTTCGTGCTCTTGGATACTCTGATCTATTTTGTCTTGCTAAACGCGATTTATGGGAAGCTCTGGCAGACTACCCAGAAGCCAGAGCCACTCTGACTAAGCGAGGTTGTCAGTTATTACAAAAGGTTGGTATTCCTTTTCATAGACGTTTCTGTAAACTCACAAGATGCAAATATTTACAGCACCTAAATCTGGCACTGCGTCACGATTACTACACGCTATTTACCTATCGCTATTAATCTCTAAATGATATAAAGTATAAGCCAACATAACGCACTCATTTATAATGCAATTATGCTTAATACTGATGGTATTAATTATAGGATGGCTTGTTAGATGAAACTGTTTTTGAAAGTGCAAAAACAACTCAGCTCAGCTTAGAAGAACATGTGCGTAAATTGGAATCAACTGTTGATCTTTTAAATAATCGCTTACAAGGACTATTAGCGGATGTAGGACAAGAACAAGCTAAGCTGAAACAACGAATTACCAAAATATATATTTATATATATTAATTATTATATTAATTAATTATAAAAAAAGATACAATTTTATAAAAGTTTAATACTAACGTTACGTTTGTCTCTGTAAATATTTAAAAAATCTAAGTCAATTCGTGTTAATTATAAATAGTGTTTAACTTGACAAGTTAGTTAATTTTCGGTGAAATTACATTTAACATATAATAATTTTCTTATAATATATAGTTACGTTAGGTATGAAATCAGAAATCATGTTGGTAATTTTCGGAACTAAACATATGTTACCAATTGAAACGTTTTTTAATGGAAACAGTGTAAGATTATAATTTATTTAGCGAGAAGGTAATATGTTTGGGACGAGTTGGTTTCAGTTAATTTTGGCTTTAACTTCGAGATGGCATGAATCTATGGAATTTCAAGATTTCCCCTTTTCTTTAGACTTTGTAGTTCTAATATTTAACTTATTAATATATCATAATATGACGTTAGTTAACTGTCACTAAGTGTTAATGTTAGTGATATATTTCAAAAATTATATGTAGACAATTCTATAAATGTTTTGATGTCGAAATAAATAAATAAATACAATTGATTCAAATCTTTTATTACTTTTAATGAAATATTTATCCAATTAGCTAAAATAATATTGTTTTTATGAAATACTTCATCATATATTTATTCACAAAAGAAGTCTACCAAACTTAAATTCTATATACACTAGCGCTATCTTTAGAGGACTTATTGAGAGAAGATTTAGTGAAAAGACATGGCGAAGTATTTGTTGTGCATGTTTGGACACTTTCTATCTGTATTTTTTAAATTTATTTTATGTACAATGTTTGTGGAGAATAGCATAGTTAAATTTTAAGGCAGGAGCTGACAACTATAGACGGCGCACGTAATACACATTTAAGTCATTGTCTGCAATCTAACGCCGATAGTACATACTAAGTGAGACATAACGGGCGTCTTGGCTACGTGGCGGTAATTTATTCCCAGTCTAAGAGTCTTGTATTCTCAATTACAGCGATTTGGTCCGGGAGAAGGTCCCACCGATGCCCCATTTGGGCGATCGTCTACAATCCGATCGCCGAAAATACAGCTATTCTGAGGCAGTCGCGACGTGTGATGGTTATAAGAGTGGCTCGGGCAAACCGCACCGTCTAGCCCCCAACAAATAACATCAGTGGTTGGGCGGCACTCTATTGCGGGCTGAAGAGTTTAATGCCACATACACTATGAATTAAGGAAATATATCATATCGCCAAATGCTATGCTTTCCGATCCGTGTCGGATACAAATAAATTTTTAGCTCGATCGCGCGAGAGACACCAAAGTTGCGCTTGCAAGCCGGCATCTTTCTTCCGCCATTTTGATTTGTTACACTACCCCTATTAATTACTCAAGATATTCAACAACTTTTCTAAAAAAAATTGCCTATTACAATGTTACCTATGCCGTCGGCGTGTCCTGGGAAACAGATGGAAAGTTTTTGACTCCAAATTTTTTTATTAACCACCATCACACCAACCAGATAAAGTGTGGATGTATTAATATCTTTGCCTCGACGCGTCTCGTCTTGTCTCACTAGTTCTCGGCATCAAGTTGTGTATCAAAAGCATTCGGTTTCATCGAGCTATTTCTTATTCTGTATTGTAATTATTATAATATTTGGTGACAAAATCGGTAAGCTACAGACGGCGCACGCAAGGAAACGCAGTGTAGACGGGTCATTAGACAAATGTTTACTCAGTGAGACATGTCAGAACAGATTAGATATGAAGTTTTTAATATTTTCACCTCGACCTGTTCTGTCTTGCCTCGCTAGTACTCTCGGCTGCAGATTTTGTGAAGACATGCGATTTAACCAAGCTATATTTTGTTTTGTATATTTAATGTTTGAGGACACAATATGACATTCCAAAGACGGCGCACAGAAGGTTACGCTCTCCAGAGTTTAGTTATTATCTGCAATCTAATTGCAGCTGAAAATATCATCTTCGAGAGACATACCAGCCTTGCGATTATGTAACTCATTTTTCGAGCACGTTAAGAGAAAGAGCTGGTAGATCACTTCGGCTTCCAAGGTAGAAAGGGCCAAAATAACCCCGTAAACACTGATTCTCTGTAGGTTAAAGTAAAGGTTACTACACAGTAAATGACTGCCTAGAAGACAAAAACGCGTGGCATTAGTTCTAATTATATTGTTATAATTTGTTTTCTTATCTTTGAAGTGTTGTGAATATGTGTGTAATGGTGAATGTGGTAAATCACAGAACAGATTTTTTTTTAGGTATGTAACTTTAATGACGTTGTGGTTTATGACATTGTTCTTTGAATAATTGTAGAGGGAGGGTAAAACTTGCTGAGTTTCTTGTCCGTTCTTCTCAGAACAAGGCCTCCTGGTAGTTTTGCAAACGGATGGCGTAGTCTTGCTCTTTCGCGAATTTTGTAAACGTTTTTGACATTCATAAGCATGCCCTAAGACGCATCTAAACTTAATAAACGTATTTTGATTGATTCATTTCAATGTCTACTGCATGAAGCATTACTTGTTCACATCGTAGTTTTCATACTCACTGTAATTATTGGGACTCATGTGTCTTTTTTCATTTCAGCATTTTAAACCTAGTCAAAATATGTTTTAATTGCTTTGTTTTGTACCATTTTTTATGTCTAAGTTGTTAAGAATCTAATGTGAATTTGTAAAAGAAGCCTTGAAGAGACTGCTCGAAACCGTCGTGATGAGGCCACCCGTTGTCCACTTTATTATTTAGTTGTTTATAATGTACTGCATTTCTTGCAAAACAATTGCTTGGCAAGACAATATGGCAAGCTACAGACGACGCACGCAAGGTAATGCAGTTTAGACTTGGGTCTATATAACGACGGCAGCTCTACTCAGCTAAGCATATCGTTATAGGTCAAATGCTAGTGTGGTTATATTTCTAGGTTTGGCCCCTAACGACACGCCTCGCTAGTTTTTGGCCGCAGGTTTTGTGTCTAAGCGATTTAACCAAGCTATATTTTGTATTGTATTTTTAATGTTAATCATTGTAATGTTTGAGGATAAAATGTGGCAAGCTACAGACGGTGCACTCAAGGATAAGAAATGTTGACTTGGGTCATTGTCTGTAATACCTAGGCAACACTGAAAATGGTATGAAAATGAAAAGCGGCTTAATGTAGAAAGTTGCCAATACTTTTATTGTTTATCGAAGTAATCTGCGTTCCTCTCTACACATCGTCGCATTCAATGCAACAACTGAGAAAAGCAGTGGGCCCATTCTTCCTTATGGGTCTCTTCTATGGTATTTTCGTAAGCTTTCACCGCATCTTCAGGGCTGCGTTTAACAAGAGTTTTATATTTGCCGCCAATTCACAAAAAAAATGACAAATAAATGCATATACTACATGAGTTACCAAAGAGGTCAAAAATTTAAATTCAAAAAATTTTTCACTAGCAATGTTTCTAACTGGCCATTTTCAGTGTTACCCACGTATAAAAATTATGTTAAGGCATAATGTCATGAATACTGATGACCGTTGTGACCACCGTTGTGACCACCAGTGGCACGATACTCTGATGCCCCTGTCACACACTCAGATGCACCCATACGGGCAGCGTCCCCAAAGGAGAGGGCAGCGGCTGGGGTTGCGCCAAACCGGGCTGTACCCCTGACCATGCCCAATCCGATGGAATCCCAAATACCACCGCACAAGGATGTGACCACTGCTGCGGCCAGGTTGACTGCGTCGGTCGAGCCAAAGACAGCAACTCCGGATGATGATACAGCGTTGTCTTGTTCTGAAGGGGGTGCATCCGCGGCTAGAACGATGCGGAAGACCGAGGCTGCGACGGAGGGCACGTCCAGTGCACTAACCTCGACCATATAGATATGTCGGCCCTGAAAACTGCAACTCAGGAGCCGACTTTCAAAATGGTCGTAAGCAGCTCTAAAAGGCGACGGCACAGGAGAGTCATAAGGGCGACGGAACAGCAGAAGCTGGTTACCGGCGCTCCGAGGCTACCTGTGAAACCTGGAACTGCCCCCGCTGTAACCACAGTAGAGAGAGGCGGGAAAAGGACACCGAAGCCAAAAAGGTCTACTGCCGCGCTCGAGCCTGGTTGCTCTGGGTGCGGTAAGGGACCTAGAGCGCTTAACAAAGCTCAAAAAACAAACCAAGCAAAGAAGGGCCAGAAGCGCGATCGGCCAGAGGAAACCGTGACACCGACTGGGGAGAGTAAAAGGGTCAAACCCAACAAACCCCAGACGGTGGCAGGGACCTCGGCCAGTTACGCGGAAGCGGCAGTTTCATACAAAGCTAACGAGCTTTGTGTTGCCGTGATGACTGAGCCTTTCGTTGACATGACGCAAGAACAGGCGGATAACATCCGCCTACAAATCGAGGGTAAGATTCAAGATGAGCTCTTGGCGGATCTTGAAGCTACCCTGACAACCGAGCCTAACGACATCAGGTTCCGGGGTAAGGCCCATTTCTCGGATGGTGTCCTCAAAACTTGGTGCGAGGACACACACACTGAGTTGGCTGACCGGAACTTGTGATGTCATCACAAATCCCGTACCTGACACCAGGTTGGTGGTTTGGCCTCAATCGGAGATTCCGAATAAAATTCCGTGTCTGCTACATGTACCAGAGTTCAGTGGCAACACGGAAACACTGAGGAAACGTATTACGAGGCAGAACCGCCACCTCAATATCAGATCTTGGACACTGACGCACGAACGAAGAACGCAGGGCCCGACAGGCGTGTCTCTCTTCTTTCGTGTGCCGGAGTTTGAGATCTCTAAGATCAAAGAACACGAACGGATATACTACCTGATGGGGAACATCTACATCCGCATTCTGGATAGAGATGAACCCTCACAGGTGGCCAACGCCCCACCAACTGCTGCCAGCACATCGGGGGTGGCGTCCTCGAGGCCAAAGCTGCCCACGTCTATGACGGGGGTAGATGCGGTCGCCGGGACACACGTCCCTATGGAGGTTGCTCGACAACCACCGTCACC